AGCCTTATCAGGGACCAGCGAGAAAGAGAAGCAGGCTTGGGAGACAGGGAAGGAAAACGCAGTCGGGAAAGGGCTCACCCCTCGACTCCAGGTAAAATTAGAAGGAAATTGTGGCAACCTAGGTACAGCTTTGGTCGCTCGCTCAAGGACTTAGCTAGTCACTATCATTAATTAATTAATCACTATCATTAACTACCAAGGACACCGTTTTTATTCCCCTAAAAGCATCACCTTGAGGGGAGTGGAGAAGTGGGCAGCAGCTCTGCAAATCATGGGACAGGAGACACTGCCTGGGGCCGCTCTCTCACTCCGAATCCCAGAACCCGAAGTTATCCCAACAACCAAGTCCAAGCAGAAGAACCAAGACGCTCAGCTTCAAGCAGCCCCTTGCCCCCACAAGCGGCCCAGGAGGTGGGCATAATCCCCCACCCTTGGGATTCCTCCATCCCTCCCTGTTCTCTCCTGCGGGAGACAGAGCTGAGGTCTCCCAGTTGGGAGTGATGGCTCTGGACTAATGGGGTCTCTAGACCCAGGGCACAAAGGCCGATCTGCCAGGGTTTACTGTGTGTAATGGGATAATCAAACATGTTGACCAACCTAAAAGCAAAGACTCCTAGGGAGTAACTCCCAGTGAAATAATTTATTAAAAGAAGCAAAAAAGAGACATAAATTTCTCCCTACTACTTGAGGAAACAGCAAACAGAACGAATTAGGGTCTTGGCCTCTGGAGGAATAAATTATTCCCGACTTGTTCTGGATACCTGTAATCATTTGTAAGCAGTGGGTAGTAACACTGTGATTGTCCTCCAGTCCTTTCTGGAAGTAGCACTGACACCAAGGACAGTTGGTGACGTCTTCACAGGGTTTACACAAGGACAGGAGTGAAAAATCGAGGAATTCTTTCAGATAGCCCAGACCAAAAATCCTCCCAGCCATGAAAAGGTCATATATGTGATGCTGGGCCAAGCGGACTTTTCTGGAGTAACCATATCATAACTGATTGCGGGTGTAGACAAGGGTGTATAAACCAAATAGGCTTGAATCAACGCAGTCCTGGATTTTCTGTTGCCTCTGCTTGCTGGGGCGGTGGAAGTTCTTAAACTCCACTTCAGAGGTTGGAAATTCTTCCCCCTCCCCCACCTCCTTAGTGACAAGGTCTCTGATCTCCTGCTGCCACTGCAATAGCCTCTCCCATCCCGCGGGGAACGGCCGGGAGTTCTTGATCTCTCACGAAAGTCGGTTTCCACTGGGGATGGATCTCAGGTAGGCGCTGGCGCGGCCTGGGGAAAAACAGTTGCGGAGCATCTGAAGCGGAAAATCCAAGCAGATGTGAGGCGATCCGGGCCCACCCCGTTCCTCTTGGGGCCTGAATTTCTTCCAGATAAGTTTCCTAACGGAACATTTCTAAGAGGTGGGGTACGAGGCGGCTTGCTCGCACGCGCAGCGGGACAGACTGCGGGTGGGGAAGCCCCGAGAGCTCTGGACCTCAATGCGTCCGACCTCTCTCCACACCGCCCTTTTCCAGCCCCCAATCTCCCTTCATTCCCGACTCTTCAGGCTCCTTCAGGGCCGGTGAGTGAACCGCCATTTCTGACGGTGCCTCGGACTCGGGGGACGTGCTCTCCGTGTCTCCCTCCTGGGGCCCGCGAGGCTCGTCCGGGCGTTCTGAGCTGGGCGTTCGGCTTTAGGCCCAATACCCGGACCAGGAATTTCTTCTCCCGGCTCCAGAAGGGAAAGACGTAGGAGGTGTCCCAACCTGCGGTCACCGCCGATGCTCCTGACCACTCCAGTGAGCACCTGCCCAGTACTTTTCCATTCCAACAGAGCTTCCAGCTTCATACTAACTGTCCCACATACGACCAGAGGGTATTAGCTCTAAGCGTCATTTCGGAGGGCCCCAGGCTCCCCCTCCGGCAGGGAGAGCTCCGGGACGGCCCCCACCAAGGATTGGGTTTCTTCCTTCACGATTCCACAGAGGCATCCCTGTCCTTCCTACCCGGGAAACCTCGAGGTACTCTGCGTGGTGCTATCAGGGACCCCAGACCCACAGCTGCGTGTGAGTGTGTATGTGTGTGCGCGGGCGCGTGTATGGCGAAAGGATGTGCTTAGGGGAGCTGAGTACACAATGCCTGCTTGGGCAACTGCTGGGCAGGCGTTGGGCCTGGAGGTATCTCACACCCACGTATCTTCCAGTATTCAAACACGGCCTTGCGCTACCTCCCATAGCGCGCGCTTTGAGCCCGCCTCTCGGACGCGTGAACAGAGGCTGTCCCTGGGAAGACAAGTGCACTTTCCCGTAAAATCCGGGAAATTTGCCTTGAGGAACGTTTCCGTTCTTGTTACTTGTCGGGTTTCTCCCACTTCCACTTAGCCATGTTTCTGCGATCTGGGTAATCCCTTTCAAGCCCGGGAGGAATTCTCCCGGGTCCATAATTGAGGGTCGGAAGTCGTGGGGGTGAGAAACGCATTAAATACTCCCGAAGCCCAGGAGGTGCCAGAGCGGGCTCAGGGGGCAGCCTGCGGAAGCTGCAGCAGGGGCTGGATCCCTAGCCTTTAACCCCTTGGAGCCCCTTCTCCCAGAGGCCCTGAGCCGGCAGCTGTCAGCGCAGCCAGGCGCGGGGTCCTGGGCGCGGAAGTGGGCCCGACTCGCCAGGCTTGGGCATTACAGACCCGCGCCGCTCGCCCACGGCCCTCTGCTCAAGCCGCTGCAACAGGAAAGCCCTCCTGGATCCGAAACCCCAAAGGAAAGCACAGTTCCTCTGCGCGTCCGGCTCGCGTGGCGTCGCGGTGTCGGAGCACCACGCTTACGAGCCCTGGCCACGATGTGGGCTCCGCGAGGGGCTAGGGACAGGCGGGGGTCGAGCCCGGGTTTGCCCACACCTTCCAGCCCCTGGAGAGATCCTGCTCCGCTTTGAAGGCCTTCGAACTTTTGACCTTCAAAGGAGTCCCTGGAAAAGGTCAGGAGCTCCCGCTGCAGGCACGGTTGCCGAAGGCCAGGCCTTCCTGGCGCAGGAGAGGGAAGGGGAGGGAAGAGGATACTAAGTCGCTGTCCGACGGCGAGTTTTCGGAGCAGCAAGCTCATGATCCCGGGCCAGTGGCGAGAGCAGTGACACCGGAAACCCAAATCTCCGCGCCCGCATCCGCGGCCGGGTGTTCTCCCGGCCCGTGCTGACCTCCAGGTCACGCACCCCCACTGCTCCACAGCTCTGCAGCCTGCAGCACACGGCCGAGAGTCCCCACATGATCTCGATGCCAAGGGAAGAAACTGCCCTGCGTCCTCTGCCCCTGTCTCTGGCCTGGGGGGCCTGGAAAGCTGCACTCCTGGAAGAGGTGGGGTTATGTGAACGCCACTGCAGGGGTGCGTGGAGGACTCTGGGTCGCACACCCATTTCCAGGCTGCAGGAGCCGGACAGGGAAGGACACAGGCGGGAAAAAAGGACTCTTTAAGTCCAAAGTGGCCCTGAAGGAGAGCTCCGGAATGCCCTGTGGCCGCGTCTGCAACGGAGTCTTCTGTCTCCAATTGCCTTCTGCCCCATCACCATGGGCCCCACCTGCGCCCACCCTGTGACCCTGGCTCAGCGACCTTCGCCCTTAAGCGCCCGCCCAACTGCGATTCCTCAAAATTCCGGCTGCGCTGAATCGGGCTGCTTTTGCTGCAGCCCAGGCAGTTGGGCCCTGTTTCCGCCGGCGCCCTGGGAGAGGCCTCGCCACCCGGCTGGGCTCCCCGGCCCCTCCCTTCCCCTGGCCTGCGAGCCCCTGCGGCCTCCCACTTCTCCTGAGAAGGCGACAATTTCTTTTCACCTTAGTGTTTCGAGGACAGAAAGGGCAGAAGGGTCACTTCGGAGCCACTCACGCCGTTTTCTTGTGTGTGTGTAATGGGGGAAGGAGAGCCCCTGGCTTTCCCCTTTTCAGCTCTTGGACCTGCAACGCGGTGAGGGCGAGGACGCGGGACCAGCGCACACTCGGAAGGCTGGATCCTCCCGGGCAGGGCGCCTGGCCAACGC